CCAGATAAATTCAGCATTTCTCAAAGTTTCTTGACCCTGAATCACTTTTATTTACATTATACCTGTAACAACTTGCGGGGTATTACAATTCCATAGAGATCATTTTTAAAATTCCAGTGTAGAAAGTTATTGCAAAAATAAGAAACATACTACCAAATCACTCATTCAATTCATACATACATACATATATATACATATAAATATATATATGTATGTAATGCTCCCACTTTCAGTTGATGAGAAGAGTGTTAGTAGTAATAATGTCTGGCAGTTATGGTGCTCTTTAGATTTTTCTATATATATTAGGTAGAGAAAACTGGACAAAGGACAGTAAGGAAAAGTTGAGTCTTGTCAGTAATAATTAAGAGACAGTCAATAATATGATAAAGGCAAAGTAAAAGAAGCACTAAAATTTCCAATTCAAAGTGTTAAGGACCAGAAATTAAAACAGAATTGGGAGGCAGTAAAAAGCAATGCTCAGAGCCCAGACTCTGAGCAACATATACTATGTAACTAAATTTCTGAGACTTAGTTTTCTTCACTTAAAACAGCAATGTAACATTTGTGAAGATTTATAAAAGCACAACTGCCAGAAAAAAATAATTTAATGAAACTGCTGTAACACAGTACTATACAATGTTTCTATATACTGCTGAATTCTGGTATGACCAATGTTCTAGTAATGGCTTTCTAAGCAGGCTTTTTCCAACAAAAGAAAACACCAGGTTACTAAAACATGTGAAGTTTAGTACCAAACCCAACCCAAAAGCTATGCTAGCGATCCCCCTTTTAGAAAACCTGCCACAACTACAAAGCTAACAGAAACAGGTGATTGCACCCACCACATCTAACTGGACCACAATAGGCAAATCTGAACTTGGCACATGAAGCCAGTTACACAGGCATCGGCACTGGAGCTGTAACTGGTTATGTGGACTCAGAAGTTACTAGCCATTTTATACAAGTGAGAAAGACAAACATAAGCAGAAAGAAAAGCAAAAGAAATATGCAGAGTAAAAATGAGAGATTATACAATGTGAGGCAGAACTGATGGAAGTGGCTCAGGTGGTAAAGTCCCTGCCCAAGCATGAGGCCCTGAGTTCAAACACCAGGGCAACCAAAAACAAAAAAAAAATGCGAGGCAGACCAAGACATACACACTTGCACACTTGTGCAATATCTTAACAGGACCATACTTATTAGGGTTGGACTGCACTTTATTTCCATGAAACACATCTGTATCTCCTTCTACTTAGACTGCTCTAAGGGGTTTTCTGTTCTTGCAAACATGTAACTTTAAAGGTAAAGCAAAAATGAAATATAATGAAACAGTAAAGTCAGTGGTGTGGGGCACCTGTGACCAATGTCTGTAATTCTAGCTACTTAAGAGGCTGACATCGAGAGGATCATAGTTCGAGGCCAGCCAAGGTAAATAGAGACCCCCATCTCCAAAATAATCAGACCTAAATGGCCTGCAGGTGTGGCTCAAGCAGCAGAGTGTGTAGACACTCTAGATTAGTGGACAAGAAAGAGACTAAATAAATAAATGTACAGCAGGGTGACTGTTTGAGAGTGGGAATTAGCAGGAGTGGGGAGAGTGAAGAGAGGGAAGTTGGGGGTGAATATGATAGAGGACTGGTGGAGTGGTTCAAGCAATACAGCGCACCTGTCTAGCAAATATAAGACCTGAGTTCAAATCCTAATACTGCAAAAAAAAAAAAAAGACAATTTGGGAATTTTTGAGCTTGGGGAATGAATCAAGTGGCAGAGCATCTGCCTAGCAAGTAGGAGGCCTTAAGTTCAAACCCCAGTCCACCAAAAAAGAAAAACTGTCTGAATATGATCAAAGTACTTCATACACATGTATGAAAACGAATAATGAAACCTGTTAAAATTGTTTAGAAAGGGGAGGGAGAATAATAAAGAGCAATAGAGGGGAGCAAATTTGATCAAAATACATTATATGCACGTATGAAAGTATCACAGTGAAACCCCTTTGTACAAATAATATATGATAATTTTTACAAGCATTAATAGGACGGGACATGTGGCTCAAGTGGTACAGCACTTGACTAGCAAGCATGAGGTCCTGAGTTCAATCTCCCCAGTGCCACAAAAAAGGGGGAAAAAAAAAAAGGCTTTTATGTATCAGGCAAATCCAAACTGAGTACACTCTACCAAATAACTGATTTAAAAAAAAAAAAAAAGAAATAATGTTTAAAGAATTAAAAGAATAATGACAATGACTCTTCAAGAAAGAAATCTCCATAAATAGAAATTCTGTAGTTGAAAAGTACAACTGAAATGAAAATTGCACTGGAGGAGTGCAACAGATTTGAAATGAAAAAAAGAGTAAGAATCTGAACTTGATTTTGAGTAACAAAAAGAAAAAAGAATGAAGAGAGAGCCTCATAGATCTTAGGATAAGAGGAGTCTCAAATGGACAGGAGGAAGAAGCAAAAAAAAAACCACAAAAACTTTGATACAAAATCATTCATGTAAGATCCAAATGCAACAAAGTCCAAGGGGAATAAGCACAAAGAAATCCTCACCTAAGAATCATTAAAATTGCTGAAAGACACCCAGGACATCTTGGAAGCAGCAAGAGAAAAAGATATAAAGAAACAGGAAATTGCAAATAACTTCTCACTGGAACACTGAAGGCATTAAGATAACACATTCAAAGTGCTGGGGGAGGGGTGGGAACTGCCAATAAAGATTCTATATCCAGCAAAACTATCCTTCAAAAGTAAAGAACAAAGCAATACCAAACAAAGGCTGAATCTTACTAATCAGCCTGCTGAACAAGTAATACTAAAGGAATCTTGACAGCTGAATGTATATAACCATCAGATAGTATTTCACATAGACACGAAGATACCAAAAATACAAGACTATGTGTCTTATATAGCTTTAAAAGCTGATTTAAAAGTAGAAAATAGAATACAACAGCACTGTTGGGGCTCTAAAGCTTTAATGTTTCCCAAATAAAGGGAGGGGGAGTAAATGAAGCTCCCTGGAGCAAAGTTTCTACATTTCATCAGAATGTAATTAGTACTCACTGAAGACTGTGGTAATTCTATAATTAAGGTGCATGCTGTAATGCCCTAGAGTGACCAACAACAACAAAACCTCAAATGGATATAATACCAAAAAAAGGGGAAAAACTGAAACAGGCATAATTTTCTATTTACCATAAAAAGTAAGAAGGCAATACATGGTGAGAAAGACTTCAAGCGTTCCCTAAATATGAATTTAATCAATGAAAAATTTCCTAAGAAAGAGTTAGGTGTGGTGGTGCATGCCTGTAATCTCAGCAACACTTGAGAGACTGAGGCAAGAGGATGGAAAGTTCGAGACCAGTGTGAGAAACATCACCAGATCCTGTCAAAAAAAAAAAACCTATGAATTTCCTGAGAGAGCAAGTATGTGGCTTAGGACAAAACAAGATACCTGAGCTATTCTAATTTCAAGGAAAAAAAAGTATTTGCAGGTTAATTATCAGGGTTATTTAAAAAACTGATTAACCCAGGCATGGCATCCATACCTGAAATCAATTTTTTTTAAACGTTACATGAAATAATACTATTGGTATGGTGGCTCACATCTATAATCCCAGTTATGCAGGAGGCAAAGGTAGGAAGATAGCAGTCCAAGTCCAGATGGACAGGACAAAAAGCATGAGACCCTATCTAAAAAATAACTAAAGCAAAAAAAAAGGCTGAAAGATGTGGCTCAAGTGGGAGAGTACCTGCCTAGGAAGCAGGAGGCCCTAAGTTCAAATCCCAGTACTTCTACAAAAAAATAAATAAACCTTAACCTACCAAACTAACAAAAATCCAAAAATTTGGTATATTTGTTGCTAAAGATAAGCGAAACAGGCACTCTACATGTTATAATAATGTCAAAGTGACACCATCCCTACTTGAACCTATAAAATTTATATATTCATTTACCCTTGTACTTGACAATACTACTTAAATGGCATCTTCTCTGAAAAAACAACCCTATGAATATGAAACTTATACATAAAGTTATTATGGTATTTGTAGGTGTAGCAAAAGCTTGGAAAAAAGCCATCAGGATGGGACTGGATGGACATACCAAAATACAGTCACATAATGGAACACTATGGAGCCATAAAAGATCTCTATACAATAGTGATAGCGAACCACCTTTAGGATGTAACATTAAAAAAGCAAGATCCAAATGACATTTCTGTATCTAGAGATAAAGGCAAATCATTAAAATATGTATATGTACAATCTTGCTAAGAAATGTTGGAAAGGTAAATTCCAAATTTTTTTTTTTATTTGCAACTCTGGCATTTGAACCCAGAGCCTCACACTTGCTTAGGCAGGCACTCTGACACTTAAGCCATGCCCTCCAGCCCCTTCTTGCTTTAGTTAGATAGGGTCTTGAGTTTATCAAAAATACAATAAAGGAGTGGGGCTATACCTCAGTAGTAGACAGCACCAGCCAGAACAACAATTTACTGAGCATACACTGTGTGCAAAGCACTGTTCTAAGTATTCAGCATGTAGTAAGCTCGCCTGAACCTTCAAAGTTTTCTTTTTTTGGCTTGCTATACAGCCCAGGGCTGGACTTGAACTAACAATCCTCCTGCCTCAACCTCCCAGGTACTAGGATTACAGGCATGCATCATCATGCCTGGCCCACAACAACCTTCTGAGGCATTATTACTATCAAATCAAAGACATGGAAAATAAGCCCGGGTGCAGCACTTCCACTACATTCTTGCTCAAGTCCCAAATACATCTACTGCTCTTTTTATGATGCATTTATGTAGCAAAATTCCAACCCACATCAATCAAACCATCTAACTTTCTTCCTATCTGTACCTGTGCTTCTGAACTACTGGTGAAACAAGAAATCCTAAAAACCTCAGTGCACAAATATACTGTCTCCAGCTTAAACTAATCCCTCAATGACACTTGACAAGTCCATCTGATGATGGTTTCCCTAGTCAAAGTCCTTACCCTCTCTATCGCAGCTACTTCAAAACTCCAATTCTCCCCAGATCCACATATACCCAGAGCCTTCTGGGCTGGCGGCATGGCTGAAGTGGTTAAGTGCCTGCGTTGTAAATACATATGTATTTATATGTATTTACATCAGCCTACACACCTTCTAGTGGCATCCAAACATTCTCAAGTAGTATGCCCATCATGTGAGGAAGAGAGAGAAACAGACCAACCCTCTCTCCTTTCCATTAGTGGCAAACTCTGAAGTACTATAAAAAAGGAAGCCACTACTTCCCTTTTGCTTCCCAATCCAGCACAACCTGACCCCATTCTCAACAAAGCTTCTCGTCTGACTTCTTCACAACATAAGATACCGCTGACAGTCCCTCTCTTCCCTCTTCCACAGCACCCCTCTCCCTGCACTCCTCTGGCAGCTCCTGCTCAGGTTCATTGACAAGTCACTCTTCTGTTACCCACTCCTTAAATGCAGAGCCCCCTGGCCTTTTGTTAGCTCATGTACACACTCATCCTGTGACATCTAATGCACTTCACTTCTTTTTAGTAAAAATTCAAACAGAAGTAGATAACAGAAAATTAGAAGTCTCTACCTCCTCCCTCCCCTTCCATTCCTCACCTGCTCCCCTCTTCAAGGTAGCCTGTTAACAAATCCCTCTTTTATTTTTATTTTTTTTTTCAAGCAATAGTGAAGTTTATTAGGACAGGAAATACACTTTCAGTAACTGAAAATGAGTCATCTCTACAGTTAGAATGCGAATGATCAACAAATCTCTTTTTTAAATTGCACACTCAGTCCATACTTTGCCATACACTGAGTACCTATCCAATGTTAAAACTCTGCTAAGCATTTGAGGTACATATGTCTAACCCTTAGAACACCCTGTAAAGGAAGTACTATTCTTCCGATTTCACAAGCTAATGGAACTCAGGCTCAGTGAAGCTACCACATGGCAAAGCTAGAACTGCAACTGGTCTATCTAGCTCCAAAGCTCTGACTCTCTGTCTTGCCTCCAAAGACCTATCTGCTTGATAGCTAATCTACATGTACTTCCTCTCAGCTCTGTCAAAACAGAAGAGAGTGTTACACATTTTTCTCTCTACCTCTGCCACTAATAACTTCCCTGCAGGAGCACAAAGTGTAAACAGATACTAACTGCTTCTCAAGTAAATTAATTTGGCGGGGGCGGGGAGGGAGCAGGGCTGGGGCTTGAACTCAGGGCTTCATCCTTGCAAGGCAGGCAGTCTACCACTTGAGCCATACCTCCAGTCCATTTTTGCTCTGGTTATTTTGGATATGGAGTGTGGCAAAGTATTTGCCCTAGCTGGCCTCAAACTGGGATCCTCCTCATTCCCAGATTTAATCCTGGAAATTATGGTATTAGGTATCTAAGTATGCATGTATTTATTTAATTATTCATGTGGTGCTGTGATCAAACCAAGGGCCTTATGTATTTAGAGAAGCACTCTACTTCTGAGCTACACCCCCAACCCTTACAGCTAAATCTTATTAATAAGATGCTGTTAATTATACGTTTAAAAACATCTCTAGCCAGGCACTAGCAGCTCACGCCTATAATCCTAGCTACTTGGGAGGCTGAGACAGGGAGGACCACAGTTTGAGGCCAGGAGGCTGAGATCAAGATAATCATGGTTTGAGGCCAGCCTAGGCAAATAGTCCCCAAGACCCCCATTTCCAAAATAACCAGAGCAAAGTGTGGCTCCAGGGGTAGAGCACCTGCTTTGCAAGCATGAATCCCTGAGTTCAAATCCCATCCTGCAAAAAAAAGGACTGGAAGAATAACAAATTTCCTTTTCTTGTCTTTGTTCAAACCCATTTCCCACACAGAACTTTTTTTAAAATGTTCTGTACTGGATACTAATGATCTTGCTGCCTCCAGTTATTCTATCTACTAATCTTTTTCACAGTCAAAAGAAGTCATCCCGAAAATCCAATTCATATCTGCCTCTAGTATCACTTACAGCTTTTATTTAAGGTCCTCTGCCAATAGCTCTTCCACACACAATCCCCCTCTCATAGCTGAGTTCTTACAAGACAGCTTTGATTTTTTTTTTTTTTTTTTGGTGGGACTAGAGTTTGAACTCAGGGCTCCTTCACACTTGCAAAGCAGGCGCTCCACTGCTTGAGCCATACCTCCAAGCCCGTGATTTTCCTCTTTAGTTTAGTAAGACAACTTATTTTCAGAAGTTTAGCAACTTTCTCTCCCATTTAGGCTCTTCTTATATATCCTGTCTAAAATGCTAGTTTCGTGTCTGTCTCAAAATTGTACCCAAAACTTATCTCTAGCCAGGCACAGAAGCACTGCATGCTGCAGCCCCAGCACAAGGGAGTCCTCGTGCAAGAGGACTGCTGAAGCCCAGGAGTTCCAGACCAGCTTGGACAACACAGCAAGACCTTGTCCCAAAAAAAAAAAAAAAATCAAAATCTTATCTCCCAAAAGTACTACCTATCCTTCTCAACATTCTCTTTGGCCATCCCTCACCTGAAGTCTTCTTTACTCCACTCATCACAGCACCAAGCACTTACCCACGCTACCACTTGAGGGCACTTTTCCTTTTCCTTTACTCAAGAAATCTAAGCTACAGACCATGACAAGAAGCTCTCCCTTCAAAAGAACTCTAACCAGATATTAAGATAAAATATAGCCAATAAATTGAAATAACCCAAATGCCTGTAAATGAATAAACAAAATGTGGCAGATACTTACAATGGAAAATTATTCAGCTTTAAAAAAAATTAAATCCTGATACATGCTACAATATGAATGAGCCCTGAAAAGATTATGCTAAGTAAAATAAGGCAAATGCTGTTTATTTCACTTGTGTGAGGTACCCAGAATAGTCAAATTCATAGACACAGAAAGCAAAGTAGTGGTTACAAGAGATTGAATTATACACTTAAGATGATTGAAATTATAAATTCTATTACATATATTTTACTATTTAAGAAAATTTAAAACTTACAGCTTTCCTTTTAGTCTCTTAGACCCACTGATCATGATTAAGACTATGGAGACTATGAAAGGGAATCATACTTTTAATGTTTCTAGCCCAGATCATAAAAGACCTTCAACTATTTGAGAAGAGAAAGAGATCAATGGATGGGTGGAGGGATAGATAGAACATTTTAAGTTCGAAATTTATAAACAGTAATTTCTAAATGTATCACATCTTATGCAAATCACTAAAATGTGAAAAAACAATTTTCTAATTTAAAATTTCAGACACCAACTTAAAAGATTTATGACAATCAAATCTAAATTAATCCCAACATTGGGCTGGGGGTATGGCTCAAGTGGTAGAGCACCTGACTAATAAATTAATCCCAACATCAATTTCCAGTCTGCTTCAAAACTACTTTGTAAGCTGGCGATGTGGCTCAGTGGTAGAGCACTTGTCTAACATGCATAAGGCACTGGGCTCAATCCTGGGCTGCCAGGTGCTGATGATTCACACCTATAACCCTACATACTCTGGAGGTAGAGATTAGGAGGATCAAGGTTCAAGGCCAGCCTGGGCAAATAGTTTGAGAGACCCTATCTCAAAAATACTCAACACAAAAAAGGGCTAGTGGAATGGCTCAAGTGGCAGAGTGCCTGCCTATCAAGCATGAGGCCATGAGTTCAAACTCCAGTACCACACAAAAAGAAAAACTTCTTTGTGACAACAATTCTATGGGAGGTTCTGTTCTAAGCCTTTACTCCCCAAGAAAGGAGTGTTCACTTTTGTAAAAAATAGTACAATGCCCAGATAAGCTTTCTGCTCTGTGTACTCCTCTTAGGTCTTAGCCTAAATTACCATTTCTGAACTGGATGTTTACTGTTTCTACTACTCAGGTGGCACTTATACTTTACATTATTAATTCTCACTTCTTATCCCAGTTTGGACTAGTACTTTTCATGTTACTTGCTTTGACTTCTAAATCCATTTAACAAAAAACTGCACAAAGTGTAACTTTATAGTTTGCTACAATTGTGCTATTTTTTGTTTATGCAACTCTATTGAAAAAATATGGAATGCTTCATGAGTGTGTCATCCTCACACTGAGGCCATGCTAATCTCTGTATATGTGTTGTGGAAGCAAGCACAAATTTTGTTAATTGTTGTTCCCACAACTTGCCCCACTTTCAACCCCCTCAGGAATCGGTTTTAACAGCCAATGGACCCTACAATGAGAAAGAAATGAAAAGTAACCAAGCCGGGCATAGTGGTTCATACCTATAATCCCAGCACTCAAGAGGCTGAAACAGGAAGATCCTGAATTTGAGGCTAATCTGAGCTACATAGCAAGACCCTGTCTCCAAAATAAATAAAAAATAAATTTTAAAAAAGTAATCGAATTAGAAGATATGGAGGAGGGGCTAGGTGTATAACTCAGTGGTTGAGTGCTTCCCTCCTATGTACAAAGAACTGGGCTCAATACTTAGCGAGAGAAAGAGATATGAGACTAGACGAGCCAAGAAGAGAGAAAGGGAAGAGGAGAGAAAAGAAGAGAAGAGGAGAGAGAACAGGGCACAGTCTTGTGGTTCCTGGCAACCTTCATATGTCCCTACTCCATATAACATTTCCACTAACGTCAGTAATACAAATCTGTCTTCTCTATGTAGACTGGATGCCCTTTAAGGATAAAAAATGTTTTATTTGCCAAGCACCAGTGGCTCACGACTGCAACCCTAGACACTTGGGAGGCTGAGATACAGAGGATCACAGTTAGAGGTCAACCTGAGAAAATGGATGGAGACCCCATCTCTAAAAATAACCAGTGTAAAATGGACTGGAGGTGTGGCTCAAGTAGTAGAGTGCCTGCTTTGCAAGTGCAAAGTCCTGAGTTCAAATCCCAACCCACAAAAAAAATTTTTTTTTTCTTTGTGACCTTAGAACCTAACAAAGGGGCTAGCACATAGGTGTTCCATACTGGGATTAACTGACATTATGAATTCCAAACAACCAGTTTTCACTTCATATATCGCATGGACACAAAAATTAACAAGCCCAATTCAATGACTAAACTGAAATTTAAGTTCCTAAATGTTATTTCTGAAAAAAATTAATATGGT